ATCTATGGTACCTTAAGTGTTATAGAATATGAAACGAAAGGCTATCTTTGTGAGCAAGATTCTTTTAATTTTACTTTATCTCGTTTTAAGCTTACTTGTCGCATAATATTTAACTTTCTGAACACACTACATCCCGTGAATGTTGTTTAGGAAATAGCTAACCGTTGCAATTTACTATGAAAATCATATGAGTGTCGATCACTCAAATTTCATAGTAAAAAATTTATTCACCTGATGCGTGACATCTCGGTCGACTGGTATATACCAGATACGTACGTACGAACTAAATATTTGTAGTTGATCATTATTTATCGACTTGACTAAGTCGACGAAAAATATCAGAAAATTTTGTCTGGTATTTTATGTTCATTGAATTTCTTTTTTGGAATTTTTTGGGAAGGATAATGTAAACTACCAAATCGACCTAAATCTGATTGGTTACTATAATTTTTAATATAGTCGACTAAGCTGATTTTTTGAACAATTGTTTGACTAAGCCGGTTAAGCCGATATATTCAACTAATGCAAAATCGACTACAAACACTATTCTCCAATAATAATAATAATAACGTTATTTTGGCCATATAAGCCTTTATTTGGTATCGATATGAGTGGTTGGGAGATATCGGAGTTGATGGATTTAATGTTAATCTTTTTACTCTATTCCGTAGAGAAAACTAGAGATTTAAACATCCAAATATATATTGATACGTTAAAAAATTGCGGTTGGTATGATATGAATGACGATAATTTTATCGGTTTGCACATAAAGCTGGATGTAAATTCATTGAAAACATAAAATATTGACCACTATCTTGTTTTTAAACGACAGAAAATTTGATTAATATTATAAAAACATGGTGGATGCAAGCAAATGGTTAGATGAAAAGATTCCGGAAGATCAAAGAGCACAAGCGACATGTCTTCATATTTATGTAACATGTCAAAGTGGTCATAACTCCTACAATTATAATTGTGGTCATTGCCAAAATCCACCCGCTTCTAAATGTCCAATTTACAAATTCATTTATGCTATTTTGGACGGAGAGTTAAATCTTAATAGCTTTGTTAATTTGGAAGAATTATGTATCTC